CCCCCGGAAAGGATCTCTTCCCACTTCAGGATATTTTTTAAAAGTCTGTGCAGAAAACGATCTGTGAGAAGGACGTTCCTCTTGTTTTATTTCTCCTGAGTCAATCTTCTAAATCCAGCTAAATCTGTGCCAGTTTATCTGCTCCGTCTTAAGCTCAACACCTGCTTCCCTGTGGAAATATCCGCCCCACCATCTCCTGGGACTGAACATGAGGGAAGACACTTACTTGCCTTCCCCCAGGAATCTGTACCAAGATTTGCAAGTCATTTCCAAAAAAGGGAGAAAGCGTGCATCGAACCAGGTACAGTGGTGACTCGCTAGACAGCTACCCCGCATGACAGTTTTTTCGCTAGACATTGACTTTTTGCAATCGCTATAGTGATTCGCAAAACAGCGATTCCTATGGGGGAATTTCACTGGACAATGGTTGGTACCTGCTTCGCAAACTGGTTTTCGCTAGACGACGATTTTGACAGCTCCCTCCGCGCTCGCCAAACAGGTGTTTTCGGGACCTAAGCTTCACAAGACAGCAATTTAAACAGCTGATTGGCAATTCGCAAAGTGGCTTTCCTGTGGCCGATCTTCACTAGACAACGGCGATTCTTCCCCATTGGAACGCATTAAACAGGTTACAATGCATTCCAATGGGGAAATGCTTTTCGCTAGACAATGATTTCGCTAAACAGCGATTTCAGTGGAAAGGATTGTCATCGTCTAGCGAGGCACCACTGTATATGTTTGGGAAAGGCATAATAAGAAACACTGGTTTTCTAGTCAATGGGAACATGTCAACACTGGAAAAACCGCAGACAAGAATGGAAAGTAAAAAGGGACAGAAATTGGATCAGAATCCTTGATATAAGTTTTCACCGTTTGGCAAGTAAAGACAAAGAGAGTTGTTATAATTGTTGCCCAGGAACAGAGCAGCTGAGAACAGAACTGCCTTCCATAAAAGCCCAGAAATCAGAGAGAAATTTAAACCAATATGAGGGATACTGAAAGAGCCACTGTGGAATATATGATCCAAGCAGGATAAAACAGAGAGAAGATAGAAATAGTCTGCTGAAGAACTAGAGAGAAGAGAAGATGGCAGAGTCCTCCAAGGGAGGAATCTTTGGGGAAAACGACCTGTCTTTTTAGAAAGTGAAATGAAAGCTGCTCTCAAAGCTAGTGCAAGAAATAAATCACCAGGAGCCAATGGGATAGCAATAAGAACACCCCCCCCCAAAAAAAGTCCTTTCATTCCACATTCTGAAGACCTGCATCAGCTACAAAGTGACCCTTGTGTGTTTTTCATAAGTTATGCAGGTTTTGTGTCGTGAGCGCCAAGTGGCCAACTACCTGTGACCTGCTCCTGGTGAACAATCATCATACTTAAGAGAAGGAATGTGAAGTGCAGGGCAGGTCTCCTTGAAGGAGGGAGGGGGGCTGAGAAAGAGAGGCTTCCCTTTGTCCTCCGCATTGCAAAAGCGCCAGGAAAGAATGGCACGGCCCCTGGGCTTCCAGATAACTCAGCCTTTTGCTCTTTTGCTTCCAGCAAATCAAAAAATCCATATACCAACAGTTTTACCAACTATGTGAGGCTAACCCGAATGACACCGAGCGCATGCAACAGCCCGGCCAACTGTGCCAGCCTTTGAGGGCACCCTCTCTCCATCTTGTGTCTCCCGAAAGCTGGCGCCGTTTGTTCTCTTGCACACTTTCGGTTCTCCTTCGGGTCGGGCTGCTAGGCAGCACACCTTCGCCTAGGTATTTCGGATCTCCCTTCCTTTGCCAGCAACCCGAAAACTCAACGATCCTTAAACGACCGGATCAGGGTTCGGCAGTGACTGGCCCGCTAAAAACGTGATAAAAAGGTGAGTTTTGCCCCCGAGTATGAAAACTGAAATTAGATGCCAAAGGACTGTGTCATGCTTGCCGTGTGAGTAAATGATTTGTTATTGTTTTAAAAACCCGAAGTTTCATATTTACCGTCTGACTATCTCACGTACATAAACACCCATATCGAGAGAGATAAGATTGGAAAAACTGTTGGTAGCCCATCAATTATTTACTCAGAAACTGACTCATTCCCCCCAGGAGGGCAGGCGTGGCATCAAGGTACTTTCCCCAACATGGAGGAGGAGGTTCAGACTTCATGCCCACCTCTATTCCCCGCCTGTTTGTTTTAATTTGACAGATTTGGGCATTTCATGGCAGGAGAGAGAACACACACACACACACACCCCCTGGCTTCATTTTGGAAAATAATCCTCCCCCCCCCCCAAACTGTGCCCCTGGTGAGGAAGGACACGCGGCAGCATCCGGGAGCATCAGCAACAGCCGGCATTATCTCTTGCCATGTTTGAGCTGGTTCTAACAACTAGGCGATGCTCCCCTTTGGCCCTGCCAACGCCAAGGCTCCAAAGAGTCCTGTTATTTTATTTTGCTTTATTTTGAAGGAAGCCCACCCAGGCCACAGAGGTAAACCTTGGGCATTTGAAAAAGTGTTCCATTCATTTCTCAGACCTAACCCCCCATCAGGCCTCTCCAAATTCCTCCACACGGGAATGGGGACCTAATTTTTTTTCCCCACTCTGTCATTTTTACAATAATTTACACTCTTGGGATAATCTCAGAACGGCAGAGCTGGAACGGAACCTACGGATCATCGAATCCAGCCTTTGTCAAAGTGCCACACTGGGGATTTGAACTCCCAGCCTTTGGCTCCACAGCCAGGTGACCTAAACAGTCTTCAGAAAGGCATGGCTTTCCTAGCTGAGGGCTGCAACGGGGCTGAGCCGCTACTTCGGAAAGGTGCGAATGTTTCCCCAAGGGAAAGGGAAAGCTAAGAGATTCTGCTTCCTTCCCTAAGGGACCCTCCGGATCGACTCTTCTGCCACGGGGTCGGATGGCCAGCACCCAAACGGCTGGATGCCCAGGTTCTTGGCCACGCCATTAAGCAGCAAAGTCCCGAAGGTCCAACAGGCTAGTTCCGGGACTGAAACCCCAGGCCAGACCCCCCCCCCATCATCCCAACCCCTTGTTTCATGGGTCCAAACAATGAGAAACAACGTGCCACCAAGGCAGTTTGTAGCATTTCGGTGACACTCAGAGGTCGGGTGCCCGGACAGCCCCAAGTGGCAGCCAGGTGGGCAAAGGGGAGGTTCACTCACCTGCCTCGGTTTTCTGCGGCCAGCAGCGAGCGAGCGAGCGAGGAGTCCCAGGAGAGAGCATGAAGAAGGAGAAGAGGAGGAGGACAAGGAGAGGGGGAGGACCAGAAGGTGGAGGTGGGTGGACGGGGTCCAGGGCATCCATCAGCAGGCGGCTCCCTCGAGAGGGAAGGCTGGTCCAGGCAGTTGGCCAGGGGAGGCAGGGAGGGCTGTGCCAAAGCCCCACGGAGCCCGCAGCCTGCCTGGAGAGAGGAAGGGCCTCTCTCTGTACCTCCGGACAAGCTGGTGTCCTTGCAACTGAGCCTCAGTATGCGGGGCGACCAGGGGGGGCAGCTCTTAATCCACTGAGTTGCCCATGGAGCCGAGGAGTTTTTGGCCCAGGCGTCTTTTCGGAAAAGATGGAAACTTTGCTCCCTTCTTCTCAGGATTCTTTAGCAGGGCAGAGGAAGGGGTTTGCCAGGAAGCAGTGGAGCAAAACAGAGAGAGAGAGAAACGGAGTACTGTACATAATCCGATACCTAAAATGTTATTAACGGGTTTTCTGTGGGAAGAAAAGAAAGAAGTTGTGAAGGAGCTGCTGGATAACATGGGAGGCATAGGAGTGAAAAGCAAAAGGGGACTGGTGGTGTTTCATGCCATCTGGTCATTGTGGCGACCCTAGGAATGAGCTATCTCCAAAATGCCCCGTCCTCAACGGCTCTGCCCAGGTCTTGCAAACTCAAGCCTGTGGTTTCCTTTAGGGGGTCAGTCCGTCTCATGTCTGCTCTTCCTCTTTTCCTACTGCCATCCACCTTTCCCAGAATGAGGATCTTCCACGGAGAATCCGGCCTTCCCGTGATGGGCCCAAAGCAGGGCAGCCTCGGTTTCCAACATTTTTACCTCCAGAGAGTATTTGGGCTTGATTTTATTTCTTACAACTTAGACGGAAGGATGACCCAACAGAAACGTCATGCTCTGGATAGGAAAGCGATGACCACCATCTTCTGATGCTCTGTTTACTGCATCAGGTAGACTGCCTCTGTACATGGAGGTTCACCGCCCTATGTTAAATTGTTGGGAAGATAAAAACAAACCTATTAACGGAAAGGAAATGGTGCGGGGAGGGGGGCAAAACAAAGCCTCATCATTTGCTCGCTGCCTTGGGCCCCAAGACCTCCCTACCTGGGATCACTAGGTCTCGCCCGGGCTGAAGCCTTGAGAAGGGCCGTCGTCCTTGGAAGAGTGGAAAATTTGATTTGTGTGACTGAGATGCCTGCCAGGCTGGGGGACCCATCTCAGCCCATTCCCAGCTGGCCCCAGGGCTTGCTAGCTTGGAGCCAAGGAGTTGGAATTTGTGCGTCTTTTGCTTTAAACAGAGCAATGATTCCGAAACCCATACACTCCGTGGGTGTCTCTCCTGTCCACACACACATGCACTCACCCCTCGCTCCTAGCTTTTTGGCACACGGCCCGTGGCAAGGAGTGGGGCACAGACTCTAGCTAGCCTGCCCCACCTCTGTGATGCTCCCTGATGACCCAAGGATCTACCTCTTTCCCCCACCATCATTGAGGTGGCCCTTGAAATTCCAAATGTCGGGTGCTGCTAAGCTAGCCACCCGACCTTGACGGCCGCAGCCGCCACCCTTCAAATCCACTTCGCCTCTCCTTGCTGCCGGAAGAGGGGGAAACTCGCCCGGGGTGGTTCCTCAAGGGTGCAAAAGCGCTGTGGGAGAGGACATGAAAAATGGCTGGATTGTTCTTTGGTGTGACGCAGGAGGTGTGCAGTGAGATGGAAAAGGGAGCAGAAAGCTTGTCCCTTCTCAATACCCTTCTAGCGCTCCCGTGAGATCTGGAAAGTTTGGGGAGGGGGGGTCTTTGAGCCTCGTTTTTTTACTTCTTTGACAACAGGATAATTAATCATTCTAGTAGAAGGAAGGTCTCCATAGAGAAAGTCAAGTAAACAGAGAGAGAGAGAGACTTATGACAGAAGAAAAAGTACACAGAACTTTCCCGGCATCTTTTTCTTTTTCTTGGTACCCACCCTTTTTGGGCTGCGACTTTCTCAGGGCTGATCCTGCATCCCTCCTCTCTCTTGGCAACCCACCCGCCTCAGCCTCCAAGGCTTGTAGGAACAGTGCCGCGGAGGGATGTGTTCCTTCCGAGCCCCGATCCACACAATCGGTTCGTGGAGTAGGGAGGGAAAGGTCTCTTCCGACGGTGGCTGGTCTGCATAGTCTCCAGCGGCCGGTCCCACAACGAGGCGGGGTGAGGCAGTCCATCTGGACTTGACATGGGAGGGTGAGAAATTGTTCGCAGTTTACTTTGCTAGTGTCGACCCACGAAAATACCCTCTTCTTGTACATGGAAAGTGGCCACGCGTGGTCCTTAAAGGGATAGAGGTCCCTGGAGAAACCTGGTGGCTGAAAACGCCCCCACCCAGACCTATAAAAGCTACCTACTCTTCATTGAGCAGCATAGCCAGGAAGCTATAAAGTGCAGACAGTGGCAAAACCGTTTCTCTTTTGAGCCTCGTTGCAACATTGCCTGCCTGTTGATGTTGCATTTTGTTGTGTCCTTGTGGCTCAGTGCGGACCTATTTGTGTTTTGGAACAACCTCACACGCTCTGCTCTTTTGCGTTGCAACATTGCCTGCCTGTTGATGTTGCATTTTGTTGTGTCCTTGTGGCTCAGTGCGGACCTATTTGTGTTTTGGAACAACCTCACACGCTCTTTCTCCTACAGACAAGACACGAAACATTCCCCTTTCCCTCTCTCTCTTTCTGGGCAACGAGGCTGAGGTTAAAGGGCTAGAGGTCCTTGGAGAAACCTGGTGGCTGAAAACACCCCCACCCAGACCTATGAAAGCTACCCACTCTTCATTTAGCAGCATAGCCAGGAAGCTATAAAGTGCAGACGATGGCAAAGCCCTTTCTCTTTTGAGCCTCGTTGCAGCATTGCCTGCCTGTTGATGCTGCATTTTGTTGTGTTCTTGTGGCTCAGTGCGGACCTATTTGTGTTTTGGAACAACCTCACACGCTCTTTCTCCTACGGACACACCCCGAAACATTCCCCTTTCCCTCTCTCTCTTTCTGGGCAACGAGGCTGAGCGCCTGAAAGGGCTGAAGGAGAACAGTCAAGGCCACAACATTTTCATACCCAGGTTCACAGGCAACCAACCACCAGCCGGTGCATCTTCTTTCCGTGGCCATGAAGCAACCTGAAACTTGTGCCAGTGAGTCAGTGGTGAGCGACACTTCTGGTCTTGTGTCTCAGATACGAGGATATAGGGAAGCAAGAGAGAGAGAGAGAGAGAGAGAGAGAGATTTCACAATCTTTATGACAGAGAACAGCGCAGGGAACTTTTAGAGGTCAGACGTGGCCGGATTCCAGGCGAAGCCGAGACATCTCTCTCTTGACCAGCAAAAAATGACCGTAAGAAAGGTTGAATTTCTGTTCCTTTTGGTTTTGATAGGAATTTGCCCAGCTCTGAACATTTTGGCAAAATCCGGACGGAAAGACCTTGTGATTTGAAAGGGAAAACCAAATGCAGGAGACACGGAAACCAACCAATTAAGCCATCCAGACAAGCAGAAGAAAGATGATGGCACTCTCCCTTGGAAGGCTTAGCGGGGCAGGTTTGCTGAGCTGTAATCGCTTCAGTGCTCAGATAAGCTTCTACTCCGTTAAAAAAAAAGACTAAAAGGACGTGGGGCCGTGGATGCTGGTGTAGATGGAAGATTGTGGGATCAGCAGAGGGAAAATGCGCCGTAGCCTCTGAAAGCGGAGAAGGTCCCTTGTGAATCTAGCTGTCAGAGGCGTCCAAGAGAAAAAACTCATTTCTCTCTTCTTTTCTGGAATTATTTGATAAACTCTGACAGATAACCATTGCCGTGTTCACATGGAGCCAAATGAGTTACGTATAGCAAATCCAGTAAATGTTTGGAACGCCTTGTCAAGGGACGAAGAATGGATTAAGCCACGAACGGTGGCCGGTTCTGAGCCCCTCTGCGGTGGATGATCTTATCTTGGGGAAGGAGGGTCTGGAAACCCAGTCTTTCTGGGAGATGGCTGAAGGATTTGGGGGTGTTTAGCCTGAAGGAGAGGTGATGGGGCAGCTGCCTTCAAGTGTCTCAAAGGATGTCACATGAAAGACAACGGAACAAGACTTTTTCCAGAGGTTAGGAATGGAGCCCAAAGGGGTCCAAATGGGAAGGAAGAAAATTCCCAGTAAGCGCGAGAGAAAATGTCCAGAGGGTGAAGACTGCTTGTTCATGGGTGGTGGACTTCCAGCGCTTGAGGTTTTGAAGCAGAGTTTGGGTGGCCACCGGTCCAGTGCTTGAGCTGTAGATTTTCCACATAGGCAGGGGTGAGACTAGATGACACACGGTGTCCCTTCGGATGTTACAGATCTACAGTTCTGTGACTAAGCTGAGCTGTGGCTCCAGGAGCAGAGCAAACATAAGAGTTTTGAGCCCAATACTTCCCATGTTGCCCCCACTTACACCTTCCAGGCCAGAGAAGAGGATGATTCTCAGAGGTTAGATATGTTACTTTTGTGCACTACAGTCCCCATCATCCTGCTGACTTGGGGATGCTGGGAGCTATAACCCACAAGAGCAAGGCTTCGGACTTCAAAGTCTGCCATAGCGGGTAGACCCAATAAGTCATTTGTTCTGTGAATGAGGTGATGAAATGCACAGCAAACACCTGGTGGTCTCTGGAAAACTGTATTTATTAAACGCAGGCATTTTAAAATTGTTTTCAGTCTTGATCTGAATATTGGCAAACAGTTAATAGTTTTTCAAAGGGCTTCTCATGGTCTTTTAAAAACTGCAAACATTGTATAGCTTTAATTGTTGTGAGCCGCCTCGGGGAGGAAAGTGGCGTGTACATAATGAATTATTTTTTTAAAAAGGGATTCTGAGCCCAAATTGGGTGTGAAGATAATTAAAAGAAGGAGGGAGGCCTGGAGGCTTGAATTGGCCCATCATCCACCATGAGCAGCCTCATCTGGAAAGCAGATTCAGCCCGAGGGACACACGGGTCACTGGGTTAATTCCTCGCTCAGGTAAGATGCTCAGTTGTTTAAAGGGAAACCACTGTGCCTTTCGCTTTACCCCTCACGAAAGCCACCTGGTCAAGCTTTAGCTGGCTTTCTGCAAAACTCTTGGCCCATTTACACCCTTTGCAAGGAAGGTGTGAGCATCTCACTTCCTTGTTTTCCTCCCGGCCAGGAGTTTACATACAGAGAGAGCGCAGGGCTGGTTTGAGGCTCCCCAGGTGAATGGGGAGGTTTCTCAAGGTCCTCCTCGTGTGCAGGCGCAGCCAGGGCTCCTAAGAAACCCCGACAGTTGATAAGGCGCCACCTGGGCGTGTTTACCCAGGAGTAGAACAAGCGCCACAGCAAACAGCCGGGGCGATTAGTCAAACACCATGGCTTCAGGGGCCACCCAAGCTTAAATAAACTCCAGAGGCAGGCAGGAAACCCAAGCTTTCTTGAGGGCTGCCCGGAAGGAAGGATGATGCTGCTGGTCCCATGCCTTTATCCCAGGGGTGGGTGAGGTGAAAGGATAGGTATCTTTCTGAAACGGTTTGTCCAGAGGCACCTTTGGCTGACCTGGGAAGGGAGGGGGAGAGGGCCGGAAAGGGTACCGTCTGCCATCTTGGCTTAGAACAACCCAAGTGAAAACATGCTTGTCTGGTGGTATCCCTCCTTCAAGTGTGGCCCTGATACTAAAAGCAGGGGGATTGTGGGGTTTGTAGTCCATTTAAAAAAACAAGCTCTGTGCCAGTCAGATCAGGAAATCCTGACTTAGGTGAATCAGATTCAAGACAAGGACGTTCTGTAAACACAGAGGAAGCTGCCTATTTTTGGGTCTGAACCAGGCCTGGCCTTTCTAAGCACTCTTGAGCCCCCCTGGATCCCCCCCCCAGAAACCGTCGCCCGGGCTCGGTGGGCCCTGGATCCAAGGCAGGCATGTTCGTCTTCGTATTCTTAAACAGCTAGATGGGGATGAAAATGTTTGGCACCCTGAAATCTGCCACTTGGGGCAACAACTTCCCTCCACGTTGTCAGTGAGGCTGTCCTTTGCTTTCAAAATGCTATTTTGCTGCTCTGCGGCTTCAGTGCCGGCTCCCTGCGAGGTTGCCAGCAAAACAGGGAGGAACATCTGGGGCTGATGGCACAGTTGAGTTCCACCACGAGAGGGGCACTCGAGGACGGCTGCTGGCCGCACACCCTTCCAACAGCAGATTTCGGCACCTGCTCAATCCTGGGCCCCTGGATGCCTCACTCTGATTACAGCCTTGCAGGGCGTTTCAGCGAGGCCTGTCCGGTCCAGCCTCCGGACGGACGTTCGCTTCGGCTCATCACAAGCGCCAATGCTCAGTTTGAAGCCACTTCTGCACTTGGTTAGCCGGAAACGCTCGCTGCACCTCAGAGGCTCTGAAGCCCCCTTAAGAAAGCACCCTGCCTTCTGCTGCCAGTCCTGCCGTTGCTTGCTCAAAGAAAGCCAAGCGTCACGCCAAGCAAGCGGCTGGAATTCAGGGCCGGCTTCCAGCTCGCCCTCCCTCCCCAGCCTCCATCTCTCACCCGCGACGACAACGCCGTCTCAACAAATAAACAGAAGAGGATGCAAAGTGAGGGAACGGCAGGTTGAGAGTCCGTTGAGAACGCCCCACCCCTCCCTGAGCTAACATGGGGGGGTGGCCCCCGCCCTGGCGACAGGAGGGTTATAAACCAGGCCCAGGGCATCGGGTGCAGGAAGGGCTCTGCTCGAAGGCACGCACACCGAGAGAGGGCGGCTGGTTCTCCACGTTGTCCCCCAGGAAAGGCGCATCCACCGGAGATGTCGATGGGCTTGGAGATCGGGGGCATCGCCCTCTCCGTCCTGGGCTGGGTGGGCACCATCCTGTGCTGCGCGCTGCCCATGTGGAGGGTGACCGCCTTCATCGGCTACAACATCGTCACGGCGCAGTTCACCTGGGAGGGCCTGTGGATGGACTGCGTGGTCCAGAGCACCGGCCAGATGCAGTGCAAGGTCTACGACTCCATGCTGGCCCTGGGGGCCGACATCCAGGCCGCCCGGGCCTTGACCGTCATCGCCATCGTCCTGGGGGCCCTGGGGCTGCTGGTCTTCCTGATGGGGGCCCAGTGCACCCGCTGCGTGGAGGAGGACAGCACCAAGGCCAAAATCACCATCACCTCCGGGGCCATCTTCCTGCTGACCGGCCTCTTGATCCTCATCCCCGTGTGCTGGTCGGCCAACCAGATCATCCGCAACTTCTACAGCATCGCGGTCCCCCAGGCCCAGAAGCGGGAGCTGGGGGCCGCCCTCTACATCGGCTGGGCCGCCTCCGCCCTCCTCCTTTTCGGGGGTGCCTTGCTTTGCTGCTCCTGCCCCCCCAAGGAGGAGCGGTACAGGCCCACCAACGTGGCGTATTCTGCACCCAAGTCCACCATGGCCAGCTACGACAAGAAGAACTACGTATGAAAGGGGCACCTCACCGGCCCGGCCGGTGTGTGCCGCGCGATGCCTTTCCTGGGAACCCTTCGCTTTGCTCCAGGACAGGACCGTCCCACCGGGACTGGACTCAGAAATTGCGCCGTACGGACCGGGGTTCAGCTGTTTTGGGGGACATTCTGGAGGTGCAGAAGGAACCCCGGTGGCCCCATCTTCCCTTCCTGTCTTTCTTGGGGACGTAGTTTGGCTTCGGGCCTTCCCTGTCTCATTCCTGGACTTTGGTCAAGGACCTGAGCGTCCCACTGCCCGGGCCGGTCTTCCTGATGCAGGCACAGGGGGGACGGTCGGCATGCGGTCGGTGTAAGCCCAGTGGTTCCCCGTGGGCTGGTACTACGGTGTTGTGTCCTTTGCCACTCAAACCCGCAAACGTGGACGTTGGGTACGCCATTTTGTCTCCCTTCTCCAGGGTAGAGCCGGTTGTGGTTGCGAGAGAGAGGGCAAAGGGCTGTTCTCCGGAAGGCAAGTGGGGGGGGTCCCCCAAGAGATCGAGGAGGGAGAGGGAGACCCCGTCCACCTCTGGGTGGCCTTGGCTTGGGTCGGAGGCGGAGGGCAGCAAGATGGCAAGAAGAGGGTGCCACGCAAAGCTCATCTGGGTTGGTGGCAAATTTCCGGGATCTTTTCCAGCCGTTGCTTTACGCAACAGAGAGAGAACACCAGCATTGCCAGTGGTGGCCGGGCGGGAAACGTTTGTTACACATACACACACACACACACACACATCCCAAAGAAGCCATGGTGGGTTTTCCCAGTCCTTTTCCTTTATGCGACCTTATGTGATGTTCCTCTTTTCCTTCCTCCTCCCCTCCCCGATGCTTCCCCAAATAAACCTTTGTTTTCATGACCCAGTTGGAGGTTGACTCTTGGCTTGGGTGGGTGAGCCTGCGAAACGGCTTCCTCCTGAAAAAGGCGCACGAGTGGGGCCACGGTCTGGGGCACGTCCCGGCTCTCTCTGAGCCCCCTTTCCCAGCGACCGGGCTGGTTCTGCCATTCTGGTCACGCTCCGCGCCCGTCCAGGCAAAGTTCTGCTTTTCTCAAACTCGGGATGGCGCCGAGAGTCGGTCAAAAACGAAGCCGTTTGGGACCCCTTGGCAAAATCTGGATCTTAATGCCTCCCTTGATTAGGTCAAGGAAAAGCCCCTAGATTTCTGGCCGTGGGAATGGAGTTTACCACTGGTATAACCGATGAGGATTTCTGCCGCTTTTTAATCCTCCAGAACAGAACGGGGAGGTTTTGCTGAAGGGGGGGGGCATGACTTGATATGTCCGGCCAGGCATAAGATCTCCCCATTTGCTTTCTAGGGGAAGACAAATCATGCACAATTAAAACTGAGCGCACAGGCTTCTCGCCACCTCTTTGCAGACACACCATAGAGGCGCTTTCAAAATGATTGAAAATAATTGCATTTTCGGCTTAATCCCCACTGGTGTCAGAGACACCTGTTCACACCTTACCGGTGCCATGCTCTGCTTCTTAATTGCCCAGATGTATGAGGCAGGAGGTTCCAGCGGATGGACCCACTTTGGTCCCCTTTAGCTTCTGGCCAGTTCTGACCGTTTATCCAGTGCGATTCAAATATGGTCGGTGAATTAGCGTGCATGTAGGCCCATACCGTTTCTCTATCCTTTTGCCTTTTTCCCCCCTGCTTGTTTGTGCCTTTCGTGCTAGTAAGAGACCCACGGTGCGGTGGATAAACTGCAGGCCTGCAGTTGAGACTCTGCTCCCAACCTGAGTTCAATCCCAGCAGATAGCTCAAGGTCGACTCAGCCTTCTAAAGGTCATGAGAACCAGGTTTGGGTGGGTGGCAGGGGGAGATGTTTTTCCCAGCATATAGCTCAAGGTCGACTCATCCTTTTAAAGGTCATGAGAACCGGTTTGGGTGGGTGGCAGGGGGAGATGTTTTTGGCACAATTGTGTTGTAAACTGATCAGAGAGAGTGCTGCAAGCACTGTGAATTGGTATAGAAGTCGAAACCTTCGAAAATTAATACATACAATCCCAGTGCTGGTGGCTCACTCCCAATCCCTGTTCGTCTAACCCTCTGTCAGCCCTTTGCTCTCTTGGGCGACTGCCATCCAAGCTCAAAGCGATGGGGATTGTTCCCTGCGCCTCTAACCTTTGCACTCATTTTGGCTCATTGCCGGCGGGAGGGCACAGAGAAGATCAGGAAGGGCCAGCTTGTTTGTTTTGTTTAAAATCTCATTACCCCACCTCCTTCAAAAAAAGGACTCAAAGGCGGCAGTACAGCATTGAAAGGCAACATTGAAAAGCTCAACACAATCAGTCGATAAATGCTGAACGGGGTCAAATAAATCCCCCATTAAAAAACAGGAGACAGAAGCAATACCCAAACCAGATTCGAAGCCGTAAGGCACAACCGTCCGGTTAAAACCCCTCCAACTCAGGCAGCCCTCGGTCACTGAGGGAAGAAAGCTTGCCTGGAGTGAAAGATCTTTGCCCGCTTGCAGAAGGAGAGCCAAGCAGGGTTACGAGTGAAGAAATGAAAAGTGTCCACATTGTTCTGAAGGACGCCCAAGCGTTGGGCACGGCAGAGAGCCGGATGTCAGAGTGGGGTTCCTCTGGGCGTTGCTGTTCCTGCAGAGTGTGGCTCAAACCCATGCCGTCTCAGCCCAGACAAGGATGCAGCGGCCGGGGCCAAGCCGAGAGCGGATTAGACCAAGCAGGGTAACGAGTGAAGAAATGAAAAGTGTCCACATTGTTCTGAAGGACGCCCAAGCGTTGGGCACGGCAGAGAGCCGGATGTCAGAGTGGGGTTCCTCTGGGCGTTGCTGTTCCTGCAGAGTGTGGCTCAAACCCATGCCGTCTCAGCCCAGACAAGGATGCAGCGGCCGGGGCCAAGCCGAGAGCGGATTAGACAAGCGCCTTCTGTTTACTTTCGCCTGTCCTTCGTTCGGAGAGCACAACCCACTGACCGACACACCACTGCCCACACCCTATGGCTTGGCTGGGTTCCCCTGCACCACACAAAACGGGGTGGGGGGGAACAGAGTGGGGAGGAAGGCCACATGGAGGCAGAGTTTGAGCAGGATCTGGCCGTGGGTAGGGGGCACCTCCGTGGGAGGAAAGGGTAGGGACTCCGATGAAAGCACAAATCCGCAACTCCTCCTGTGCAGAGTGCTCGGTAGCAATGCCTATGGCTCCTTCGCTCCTGATTTTCTAGCTGCACAGCCCCACCACCTTTTTGAAACCTTCTCATCTTTTCCAGTATCCGCATCCATCTTCCCCTGCCCCCTGCCCACCAATTACTGCAGAAAATCTGAATATTTTCAAGGAAACGTATTGCGATCGCCAGCTGTTCCGGTGGCTTGAAATGCTACATTTTCCATATTTCTTTTTAACGAGGTGCGGTTTTGTTATCAGCAACAGCGTAGATCTTAATATAGTGGATATCACAGGCAAGAGTGCAACATTCAGGGTTCACACAGGGCTATTGGGCAGAGCGAGATGGTTGCCGAGGGCCACTGATGCAGGAGGCAGCAGCCCGGGGATGAAGACAGGGTGCTGTCACGGGTGTAACGCTGATGTGTGTGATGCCTTGGCTTTTTTAAGCGCTTTGCCTCCTTACCTTTGAGGAATAAAACATTTTGTGAGCTCACAAGAATTTCAGGAGGGGTAAAAATTTGGGCGGCTGAGAGCGCCTTCTGGTTCTACCCAGAAGAAGCCGCTTTTATTCTCAGAACAAACAGGCAGCGACAGATGGACAAACACCCACCCACCTCGTAAAACGTTCAGTTCCCACTTCGACCCATTTAGCAGCAGCAATAAAAACCCCATAAAAATCCCAAGGACGGGCACAGCAACCGTTCCTTTGGTCCTGGCTTGAACCGGAGCATTTCCTGGCACCCGGGCCTCCGGATGTGTTGAGCTGTGTGGGTCTCCAGGATGATGGGTATCGGGAGTCCAGAGATGTGTGGAAGAATCAGGGAAGGCCAGGAATGTTCAAAACCGCCTTCCTCAAAATAGAAAGAGGGAAGGCAGCAGGAAAAGAGGCAGACCGGACGTGAGATGGACTGGCTCCCTAAAGGAAGCCACAACTTCTGAGTTTGCAAGAGGACAGTCTGGAGAGCGCTCGCTTCACCATAAGTCAGAAGGGACTTGGTGGCACAGAACAACAGTCACAAATAGGTGGCTGTGCCATTCTTTTGGCAAAACAGTGGGGTAAAGGAGAATGAGATGATGGGGCAGAGAAAGGGTGCCCGAGGGGCATGAAGGGACAGTGGGCAACATTGTGTTAAGGTCGCTCCCTAGATGCGTTCTCTTTTAGCGTGTGTGTGCGCTCCGGATGTGTTGAGCTGTGTGGGTCTCCAGGATGATGGGTATCGGGAGTCCAGAGATGTGTGGAAGAATCAGGGAAGGCCAGGAATGTTCAAAACCGCCTTCCTCAAAATAGAAAGAGGGAAGGCAGCAGGAAAAGAGGCAGACCGGACGTGAGATGGACTGGCTCCCTAAAGGAAGCCACAACTTCTGAGTTTGCAAGAGGACAGTCTGGAGAGCGCTCGCTTCACCATAAGTCAGAAGGGACTTGGTGGCACAGAACAACAGTCACAAATAGGTGGCTGTGCCATTCTTTTGGCAAAACAGTGGGGATAAAGGAGAATGGGATGATGGGGCAGAGAAAGGGTGCCCGAGGGGCATGAAGGGACAGTGGGCAACATTGTGTTAGGGTCGGTCCCTAGATGCGTTCTCTTTTGGGTGTGTGTGTGCGGAAATGAGCTTACAATGACTCAGTCATTTGAATGGAAGTCGGGGCAAAATCCTTCCAAAACTACACCTCTGGAAAACAAGACGAGGGTTTTGTTTTTCGCAGTCCTTGCCAACGGCCCCAAAACTTAATGCCTTCCCTTTCGTAGAAAAAGGCTCGTGAAACAGCCTGGCCCAGACCTTTTTCAGCATTCTTGGCCTCCCTGATGTTCTGCCGCCTGCAAGCAGGGTGGAGAAACTGCACCTTGTGCATGCTCAGAGGCTGTGTGACTTTCTCCTCCGGCCGGTCTCGCTAGGAGCCGATGCATGCCCGCTTTGTGGCTTTCTTTTTAGAAAGAAGGTTCTTTTGCATCAGAGTCTCCCCGACCACGGGTGGCACCGCAGAAAGAGCACCGGGCAGTATCTCTGCAGTTCCAGCCAGGGCGCCTTCCGAGGGGCATCTTTGCCAGCCACAGGGGGTGGGCAGGGGAGGGGGCTCCGGGGGTGTGCGTGTATGTTCGGCCTCATGAACCCCAATGCCTGGAATGCCATCCCCAGGAGGACAGAGAAGGCCTGCTCTCTGTCGAGCTCAGCTCGGAACAAAGGATGGGTTTGTGCGTCCACCACACCCCGGAGCACGTGACCGATACTGGGCGGACAGGTGCAGGATACCTGGCCCAGGGCCGACCTGCACACACACACACACACACACACAGGGGCCGACCTGCACACACACACACACTGGGCTGCAGGTTAACTCTTCCCGGGTGATCCAGGGTAGAACGCCCCAGCGATTCCACCGAGGCTCGGCTTTGATCACTGGGGCACGGCCGGCCCCTCTCCTCCCGGCAGGCAGGAGGAAGGCACCCAGGTTCAGCCAGAGAAAAGAAAGGACCAGCAAAGCCAGATCCTGCGCCCACCCAGTCCCACCAGGCACCCCGGCCTCTGCCGGGTTAACTCTTCCCGGGCGATCCAGGGTAGAACGCCCCAGCGATTCCACCGAGGCTCGGCTTTGATCACTGGGGCACGGCCGGCCCCTCTCCTCCCGGAAGGCAGGAGGAAGGCACCCAGGTTCAGCCAGAGAAAAGAAAGGACCAGCAAAGCCAGATCCTGCGCCCACCCAGTCCCACCAGGCACCCCGGCCTCTGCCCCACAGAGGGCTTCTCTCCCTTTGGCCGGCGGGGCAGAGGCTTTCGGCTTGCTAGGGGCTTTAGCCGACAGCTCAGATCATTGCCCTTCCTTCCACGCTGGGTGGAATTTGGGGGAACGTGGTCTGAAGATTCCCTGCTTGCAGGAGAGGGGGGAAGCAGCTGCTTTGGAAAAGGGAGCCCTCTGGACCCCCTTTCCCTCCACAAGGCAGATCCGTCACTTAAATAGCCTCCCCCACAGATCAGGGACCACGCTTATCCTTGGCTACCCCGGTGGGCTGGACGTCTTGGCGCTGCAGGTGTCTTAAGGAAGTGAGCCAAGCTGCATGCTGTTCAAAAAAGGCAAAACCTGGGGCTATTTGGTTACAGGAGAAATGTTCTATGTGGGAAAATTCAATCAACGCAGTACTTACAGGCACACAATTTAGTCCCCACGTGGTGTACAGAGGACGATCTAACAAATGGCAGAGGCAATACTGTCAAGGTAGCCCACTTCTGGTCAAAAATGCAGTGTTTTCCTGAAAATAAGACAGGGTCTTATATTAATTTTTGCTCAAAAATGCATTAGGGCTTATTTTTAAGGGATGTTTTATTTTACAGTCATGTCACCTTCTGGTTGCTGCACAAGGACGGAGGGTGGGGTTTCACTTCACTGGGGCTTATTTTTGGGGTCAGGCTTATATTAGGAGCATCCTGAAAAATCATACTAGGGCTTATTTTCAGGTTAGGTCTTATTTTGGGGAAAACAGGGTAGTCTAATTGTTTTAAAATTTTGAATTTGTTTGAATTTTATTTATCTTTTATATACCTTTATAGTTTAATTGTATAACACTCTGATATGAATAAAGAAAGAATGAAGGCATTATTTATCTGTTCCTTTATTGCTCTTTCTAGCAGATCATAAATCTTACTCTCTTTTTCTGCTGATCCAAGGATTTACAAGAAAGGGGGGGGCTTTTCGGTGGTGGCTCCATTTATTCATCTGGGATGACAGCTGAGCTGGGGGGGTCTCATCCGTTGGGTGCTGGCTGTGTCTTTTGTTGCCAAGCTTCAAATGGGTGTTTGTTAATTATTATATTTTAATGTGGGCTTTCGTGGACACGTCCACTTCGTCAGACATATGCAAACAGAACGAAATGTTCAATGAAATACAAGTTTCGTACTAACTATTCAATGTCTCTTGGACGTGTGTTATGTTTACATGCAGTAATGTATGGCTTGTGTTGATTTAGGACTCTGTTGTAAAAATTCCTCAGGAGACAGAAAACAGACGCCAGGCCTGGACAAAGATGGGGAGGAAGAGAAGAAAGAGGACGTGGGGTAGGGCGTGGTCTGAAGATATTTTACATCATCTGTTAATTAGTATTTGCTTTCCAACTGCCTGTTACTATAGTCAACATGCAATCATATTTGTGTCTTCTTGTGCTATTAGTGGGGGGTTTTATTGGTTTTTTAATTGGTGTTCGTTTCAGACTCTGCACTTGGGCAGCTTTTTGGTCAGAAAAGAGAGAACACAACAGAACAAACCAAGGAGTTTATTTAAAAAGGAAACACAAGACTATCTTTGTAAAAAGAAAAATATTGGCAGGAACTGAATCCAGCCCCCACTCCGAGTTCAATCCTAGGGCGACAAGAGAGAGGCTCCCATCTAGGACCAAGGAGTGCATGGTAGGCTTCAGGGCGACACAGAGCGCTTCCTTCCAGACGAGAGCCCCTGTGTCGCCCAGAAGCTTGCCAGGCGCGCCTTCCTTCCACGCGAAGCTCTCTGGCGCCCCCGAGCGGCGCATGCGTGTAAAGCCGCCCCTCCCGTTCATGAAAGACGGGCCTGTGTAAATGGCACCTCCAGCGCTGCCGGAAAAGGCGGGGCAACGCAACCGGAAGCGGGTCTCGGTCGCCGGGTGAGCCACGCCACCGGCTCCCCTTCAACGGCCCTGCCGGCTCCGTCGCCTTGGTGACCGCTTCCCCAGCCCAGCCATGCTCCGCGC